TCATTGGTGGGAAACTTCAGACCCATGGCTGGCACCGCTGTATTCCTGTTCGTGGCGACGGCAGCGGCTTGTGGTTCCCCTTTTGACCCCTTTTCTTTAACCCCAGTTTTACCTATCCCCAGTTTATGATACTTATGCATGCGTGATTCCAGGAACTTGGCAGCAACTTGACGGACATGAACAGGGACTCCATGGACATGGTTCGGAACGGATGCTTTGCTATGTACAACGAAGCAACACTCAAAACATTCCAAACGCGCCTGGTCAGGTTCATGTTCTTCAAAAATCACTTGAGGAAGGTCAGGAGGGTCATCTTCTGGATGATCGATCACCACGAGGTTGGCCTGCTCCTTGTTGTCACCACGTTTCAAAGGGCACTCTGCTTTCCAATGTCCCAGAGCTCCACAATTCTTGCAATGCGTTCGACTGATTCTCGAGAGAAGCTCGTCTTTACCACTGCGAGCACCTCCTTTGCGAGGACCCTTTCCTTGGTGGAAATCTCGATTGAAACCTTTGCCCTTGCCTTTGGAAGGCCAGAACCCTCTCGATCTCCTTCTGTCATTGATTCTTTGCCTGGCCTCTTGGTAACTGAGAAGCGCAGACTGCAAGTCTGGCACTTCTTGCATCATGTCCTCAAAGTCTTTCTCGAATTGTTGGATCACCATTGCGTCTTCATCTCCTTGTTGAACCATTTGTTCCAAAATTTCAGCGGAGAGTGCATCCTCCTCCTCAGTGATGGTGTGATATGTGCTCTGTATGGGTGGCTCTGTTTCATTCAGGCTCACATTCTCCTCGGACTCCACATAGTGTGTTGGATACACCTTCTTGCGAACATCTCCAGAGCTAAACAAGACCCTTGTGGATAAGCTTCGCATGGCCTTCTCCACCTCTTTGATGTCCAGTTTGCCCTGAGTCATCGACAAGACTCGCTTCTTGTCTTCGTTCGTGAGCCCGGACTGTCGGAGCAGCACAAACGCCTGCATGTCCTTGACCGAGACCTTGTCCCCAAGATCGTTGAAGGCTGCTTGAAGACGGAGTGCATAACTGTGATTTGCCTCGTCATTCTTTTGAACCACCTTATACAAAGCCTTTTCGAAGAGCTCAAAGGTTTTCAGTTCTGAGGTTTCTTCCCACATGCTAAGTGCATCCAGTAGGTAGTTGACACCTGCATCAGGGTCGGTCAACTTCGTTGGATCCAATTGTCTCACTTGGCTCCAGGCAGTGCCACGACACATCATGGCCAACCTAGGCGCTAGGTTCCCTTTGTCCTTGGCTGGGAAGACACCGTGAAGGAACCTGACCTTCTGGGTGAACTCTCTGATATCGTCCACGCTGGGATCGAAGCTTGGTAACTGGCTCCATAGCCCTGCAGCAGCTGTCTTGTCCTCTGAAGAACCTTCAGACATACTTTTGCTAGTTTCCAAACTGGGACCCTCAGTTGCGGCTTTTCGTGCCTAAGGTAGCACGAGCCCGTAGGCTCCGCTACCAGTGTGAAGGGGCCAGTGTGTCCCCAAGCACACTGGTAGCTTCCAACTCCAAAACCTGGTAACCCTTGTCCACAAGGATAAAGTCCAAAAGTATCCAAAACAGTCCCAAACTGGATGGAAAAGGTTGATGTTGGCCTCAACAGATGTTTGAATCTCTATCACCTATAAACCGACGTGTCCCCACGATCCAAGCTCCACCAATGGCGCTAGCCGCAGCGTTTTCTCCCGGTTCCTGAAATGTGGCCTTGAGCCACCAAGTAGCGAAGATGGCAGACGTTTCAGTCTGTAGCATCTGAACCCTCGAAAGAACACAATCGAATGGTATTGCAGGAGACACAGACATGTAGACAAGGTTGTTCCTGGAATTCACATGTATGTATTTATGTTTTTATTTATATATATATATACCTGCAATCATCTGCAGTCATTTTAAGTTCAGACCCTCCCCAACCTATTGACCTACTGTCTACCTACCTATTTATCTATATGTATATATATATGTATGTATGTATGTATTATGTATGTATTTGTTTTTATATCTATATATTTACCTGCAATCACCTGCAGTCATTTTAAGCTCAGACCCTCCCCAACCTATTGACCTACTGTCTGCCTACCTATTTATCTATGTGTATATACATATATGCATGTATTGATTTTTAGATTTATATATTTACCTGCAATTACCTGCAGTCATTTTAAGTTCAGACCCTCCCCAACCTATTGACCTACTGTCTGCCTACCTATTTATCTATGTATATTTATATATATATGTATGTATGTATTTGTTTTTGTATTTATATATTTACCTGCAATCAACTGCAGTCATTCTAAGTTCAGACCCTCCCCAACCTATTGACCTACTGTCTGCCTACCTATTTATCTATGTATATGTATATATATATATATTTATGTATTTATTGATTTTTATATTTATATATTTACCTGCAATCACCTGCAGTCATTCTAAGTTCAGACCCTCCCCAACCTATTGACCTACTGTCTGTCTGCCTACGCTATTTATCTATTTATATATATATATTATATTTAGATTCGAAACCACATACTGTCTGCGCGTAGCATGTTGGTTGCTGGTTATTGTTTAGTTTATTATATATGAACGCGCAGATAAGTGAGATTGATTATTGCTGATGTTGTTTATATTGGATTCGAAATAATGAAAGGTGCTCGTTATTAGAATGACTGCAGGTGATTGCAGGTAAATATATAAATATAAAAATAAATACATACATACATATATATATAAATATACATATACATATAGATAAATAGGTAGGCAGACAGTAGGTCAATAGGTTGGGGCGGGTCTGAACTTTTATATACTCAAAAGCGTATCATGTCGGCTGAAATTTGGAAAATGTTTGAAGACGCTGACTAACTATTATCACAGGGGTGTATGGATTTCAAAGGGGCGCCTAGGTTTGTTACATGAAAGTGCGCTGTAACGAATGATTCAGAAATAGAAGAAGTCAAAATTACTGGATTATAAATGGAGGAAAGCATAACAAGAGCAAAAATTGATAAACACCAATGATGAAAAATGAAAAATGGATGGAAATGGAAATGGAAAAAATGGATGAAATATGGATGAATAATGGATGACAGTGGATGAAATTGGGTAAACATTGATGCTGAAAAGAAAAAAGGATGAAAAATGGATGGAAACTGGATGGAAATGGAAATATAGAGCATGCGTGAAATGATTATATAAGAATTGATGAGCAGGGATTAAACAGAATTAAACTTGATGGGGGGAAACAATGAAGAATGAATGGGAAGTGGATAGAGATTATGGATATATATATATAAATATAACTATTTATAAATATAATGAATACATTACAGTCTTGCTGTGCCGGACCGAAACATAGAATGACCATTTGGAAACCGCTGAGGTATCCTGTAAAACAATGAGCGTTCCAGGGCAGTGTGGACAGATGCAACTGGGTGGAAGTGGAAAATTACTGGATTATAAATGGAGGAAAGCATAACAAGAGCAAAAATTGATGAACACCAATGATGAAAAATGAAAAATGAATGGAAATGGAAAAAATGGATGAAATATGGATGAATAATGGATGACAGTGGATGAAATTGGATAAACATTGATGCAGAAAAGAAAAAAGGATGAAAAATGGATGGAAACTGGATGGAAATGGAAATATAGAGCATGCGTGAAATGATTATATAAGAATGGATGAGCAGGGATTAAACAGAATTAAACTTGATGTGGGAAAACAATGAATAATGGATGGGAAGTGGATAGAGATTATGGATGAAGCATGGATGAAGAACAGATGACAATGGATGAATATGGCTGGAAATTTGTGCAGAATGGATGAAGAATGGATGAAAAACGGCTGGAAAAATGCGTGGAAATGAATAACAAATGAAAAAAAATGGATAGAAGATGTTCAAAAAAATCATTTTCGAAGGATTTTGGACTACCTTCCACAAAAAACAGCACTTGGGAGCCAAACTTGGAATGACGGGTACTTTTGCTATTGTGGCCAAATTGTTTTTGAAAATCAGCTGTGTGTCAGCTGTGCGCGAATACCCATTCTATGTTCCGTGTCCCAGACCTGTTTTGACTGACAGGCGCGGTGTTTCGTAACATTTCAGTTACTCATTCTAAGTTTTCCAAACGAAAAAAAAGTTCAAAAACGTGGGATTTTGGCCCCGCGCGTCGAAACGGCAACTTTTCGGATACCCCCGGCGATTTCCAAAAGGTCATTCTAAGTTTCAGTCCGTCGATATATATATACACGTATGCATGCACAATATGTACATATATACAATATATATATATATACATATTCATGTAAACAATTTATATATATATACACAAAATATGTATATATATATTAACTATATACTATATACTATATAAACACTACAAACAACATATAAGTTCTGGGAAGATTTCTACTGGAAATAAGATTCTCCATGCAGTCAATGTGATCTGTGTGTCGTGGCCACATTCCTGAGCAAGCCATCTAAAGCTGGAGACTTCATCAGTCGCTATGGTTCTCAGTGCACGAGTTGGTCAAAGCACCAACAATAAGGAACAACTCAACACTACAATGGAAAAGGAACGCTCTGTAGCTGCCTTGCTGGAACACTCTGAAAAGTTCCGCCTCTGTTTCAAATTGATTGCCGTTTTTAGAACAACAACAACAACAAACCAACCAACCAACCAACCAACCAACCACCACCCACCCACCCACCCACCCACCCAACCAACCAACCAACCAACAACAACAACAACAAACGAAGGCCGATCTTCACAAATAGATGTGACATGTTGGAAAATCCCACTCTTTCTCCACCTTATCCACCATCTCTATGCCAATGTCCATTGGATTGGTTTAAGGGAAAATCCACAGGAAACAATGGTTTCTACCATTATAAACAATGGTTTTTTCCTTCAAATGTTCCCTCAAAGCATTCTGAGATGTTCACAGACGTTGCCCGGTCACCGGGTCACCGGACGTTGCCAGGGTCGTGGCCCAAGCAGAGATCGTTCGTGTCGTGGCCTCGGTGAAGCGGTCAGCGATGTGAAGCCGTGAAGCAGTGAATGAGCCATAGGCATCCATAGACTATGACTATAACGAATGATCGTTACATGATAGTGAAATGTCATCAAAAAATAATTATGCCTATGACTATGACTATGACTAATTATAGAGAAATGATAGTGAAATATCATCAAAAAGTGACTATGACTATGACTATGACTAATGATCGTAAAATGGTAGTGAAATGTCATCAAAAAATGATGATGACTATGGCGAATGAAAGGGAAATGATAGCGAAATGTCATCAAAAAATGACTATGAATGATCGTGAAATGATAGTGAAATGTCATCAAAAAATATTTATGACTATGACTTATGATAGTGCAATGATAGTGAGATGTCATAAAAAAATGACTATGGCTAATGACCATGAAATGATAGCGAAATGCCATCAAAAAATGATTGTGACTATGGCTAATGATAGAGAAATGATAGAGAAATGTCATCAAGAAGTGACTACGACTACGACTATGACTAATGATAGTGAAATGATAGTGACATGTCATCAAAAAAAACTATTACTATGACTATGACTATAATGATAGTGAAATGACAGTGAAATGTCATTAAAGATACTACAGACTATGGCTATGACTATGACTAACGATAGCGCAATGATAGTAAAATGTCATCAGAAAATGGCTAAAACTATGACTATGACTATGACTAATGATACTGAAATGATAGTGAAAAGTCCTCAAACAAATGACTATGAATATCACTATGACTATGACTACTGATTCTGAAATGATAGTGACATGCCATCAAAGAAACCATAGACCATGACTATGACTAATCATAGCGAAATGATAGTGAAATGTCATTAAAAAATTTGAGTATGATTCATGGTAGTGAAGTGATAGTGAAATGTCATCAACAAAAAGGACTGTAGCTTTGATTATGACTGTGACCCATGATAGTGAAATGATAGTGACATGCCTCCAAAGATACTATAGATTATGAGTATGGCTATGACTAATGATAGCGAAATGATACTGAAATGCTAGTGAAATGTTATCGACAAAAATGACTATGACTACAACTATAACTATGACGATGACAAATGATAGCGAAATGATAGCGAAATGTCATCATATTTACCATGGCCATGACTATGGCTATGACTAATGATAGCGAAATGATAGTGAAATGCCATCAAAAGAATGAATATAACTATGACTATGACTAGTGATAGTGTGAAATGATAGATAGTGAAATGTGATCAAAAAAAACTGACTATGACTACAACTATATCTTTGACTATGACTAATGATAGTGAAATGTTAGTGAATGCCATCAAAAAAAGACTATGACTTTAACTATGACTATGACTAATAATAGTGAAATCATTGTAAAATGGCATCGAAACAATGACTATGACTTTAACTATAAATATGAATATGACTAATGATAGTGAAATGATACTTACATGTCATCAAAATATGACTATGACTAATGATAATGACATGATAGATAGTAAAATGTCATCAAAAAAAGGCATTGACTATGACTATGGCTAATGATAGTAAAAGAATAATGAAATGATAGTGAAATGGCATCAACAAAAATGAGTATGACTATGACTATGACTAATGATAGTGGAATGATAGTGAAATGTCAATTGAAAAAATACGATGACTATGACTATGACTAATGATGGTGACATGAAAGTGAAATGTCATCAAAACAACGACTATGAAAATGACTATGACTATGACTAATGATAGTGACATGATAATGAAATGTCATCAGAAAATGGCTATGACTAATGATAGTGAAATAATAGTGAAATGTCATCAAAAAATACCTATGACTGTGACTAATGATAGTGAAATGATAGCGAAATGTTAAAGAAATGACTATGACTTTAACCATGACTTTGACTATGGCTAATGATAGTGAAATGATTGTAAAATGTCATCAAAAAAATGACTATGATTATCCGCCGACCCCTGCCATTGCCACTGCAGGGGCAGGCGCCCGAGACAGCGAAGCATCAGCAGCGGCCTTCTCCTTCACTGGCAGGCAGTTCAGGAGCTGACGGCGCCACGACCAGCTGCCCTTCGAAGGCACGATCTGTCCCGCAGTCCCATGCTCTTTCGGCGTGGCAAAACGTTTTTGAGCCTTTTGGCTGGCCTTTGAACCTTGTTCTATAGGCGTTTCAAAGCGAGCAAATGGGTCACGACCTAGCGGCCCTTCGAGAAGCCTTCCGTCCTTCACTGCCATGCTGTTAAAGCGTGGCGAGGGGTGCTTTTTTCCCGAGCTGACGGCTGCTCTTGGCATCCCTTTTCATATCAAGATATGGGCTTGAAGGGTGTGTATATTATATATATATATATATAATTATATATATATCTAGGTTTCGGCCCGAATGCCTTCCAGCTGGTAAACCTGAGACAGCTAAAGATCGGGACATCGTTGCACCAGCCATGGTTTCATTCGTTGTCGGTACCGCTTGCCCTGGTGAGGGGGATTTGGTCAATGAATTGGTACAGGCGACTGAGGTTGCCCAGGTTGCACTTGTTCCATTTGCCTGCTTTCAGGGGATTCTGATGTATGCGTCACCATCCTCGACACAATGCATTTGGTGTTGAAGTTCCTGGTGAGGCCTCCGCACGGGCTATAAGCATTGGTCGACCCTTCATGATCCAGTCTGCCCACCACTTACTCGGTCACCTGGGTTGGCCCTTGACACAGTTAGGAGGAGAGAGGGTGTGCTCAGCTTTCATCTTACTTTCTTGTATTGCTGTACTTGCTTGCATGCCTGGACGAAGAGAGCTTGGAACTTTGTTTGTGCTTGGGCGGCACGCCAGCCAGCGCGGCGCAGCAACGGCCATCGAGCCCTGCGAGGCTATGAGCACGCCGAGAGACGATGCCGCAAAACTCTTGTGGCAGCTTGTGGGTTGCTCATGGCCCGCAACTCTTAGGAAGACGAAACCACTACATGGCCACCTCTTTGACACGGTCGTTCAACATGGTCGTTCACCACCTTCGGAGCCTTGAAACCTGAGCCTCTCGGGCCGCACAATACGTGCTTTTCCCTAGTGTTTATTTAGATCCTGCACGTCACAGCCCGCGCAGCACGGCATCACCGCTAGCACCTGTCTGGCAGAAATTATGTTCAAGCCTTTTACCGGCGTCCTGAGCCACAAGCTCTACCCGCTAAAGGCCATGGCTACACGTTAACGTTCTGCAACGGTCCGTGGAAGATTCATGGAAGGTGGCTGTGGGCAAACTCTTGCAGCCACCCTTGACGTGTGTACAAAGCTGACTGTTGACACTGACCTTGGCCACTGCTGCACTGCTCACGCCGTGCACAGTTGCTCACAATCCGTCCGAGCTATATATATATATATCTATTTATCTATCCATCTATCTAATCTAATCTAATCTAATTTATACAATCTAATCTAATCTAATCTAATCTATCTATCTATCCATCCATCTATCTATCTATCTAATCTATCTATATACATATATATATATATACACATACATATACATACATACATTAAACTTATTGTTGTTTTCTGTCGCCATACTCTTTTCTTTCCACTGCCATGCCACCCATAAAGGATGGTCGGGGCGGTTGCCCTACTTATATAACTATGACTATGACTATGACTATGACTAATGATAGTGAAATGATAGTTAAATGTCATCAAAAAAATGACTATGACTCAGACTATGACTAATGATAATGAAATGATAGTGAAATGTCATCAAAAAAACGACTATGACTATGACTAATGATAGTGAAATGATAGTGAAATGATAGTGAAATGATAGTGAAATGATAGTGAAATGTCATCAAACAAAAAAGTACTATGACCATGACTATACCACAAGCATACTTTGCGTGAATTGGTGAACCACATATCATCTGCCCAAGGAGCAGCCCGTGATCTGGCGACGACTGAGACATCCAGACATCCAAAAGCAAGCCACAGCCCGTGGATATCTTCAGTACGGTAGAAATTAAAAATCAGATGTCTGGCAGGGAAGATATAATATATATATATATCATATATCTTAAAATTAAGTAGATATCTCGTTTCCCCAAACAATACACGTGGGGTTTTCTGAGTAACTTGTCATCGTCCTGCATCGTCCTGCAGGACTAACTGCACCACGGATCCACGGATCCACCATCATGTCATGTCAAGTGACGGTTTTCATCCACCACGGCGCATCCCGCTCCAGGTGCACATGGTACCTCGGTACCAGAAAAGTCACAGCGGTCACAGAAAATTCCGGTCGCATCATGAGCTCCACCAAAGCTCCTGGGTCTCCGCAACGTGGTATGTGTGAACTTATCTGCACTCAAGACCTTGGCTATAGGAAGGTATTGGAAGCTATTGCTTCACTGAATATCACCATGATGTAACTTTCCGACAGTACAAAGAACAGGAAGGACCTGTGCTGGTTGAAGTGGGTGCCTAGGTAAATTCGGTACCATTGCCATCTGCGGACGTCCCTCTAAATTTCAGGTGAGCCTGGAAGGGCACCACGTGCGACTCTCCAAAAAGGAAGGGCCGTGACCACACCTGCCACGTAAGCAGAGCGTTTACGTCCTTTGCAAACCGCAGAGGGGGTGCAGAAAAAGTCGGTGACAAAAAACCATGGGTTTTCCTATGGTAATTTGCACCAGAAGTTGGGATTATGGGTTTTCCTATGGGTTTTCCTATGGGTTTTCCTATGGGTTTTCCTATGGGTTTTCCTATGGTAATTTGCCCAGAAGTTGGGATGATGGTAGTATAATATAAACCCCAATTTGGGCCGTATGGTGTGTGGATCTTTGTGCCCTTTTGTTCAACCAAAGAACTGCACCACGTCCCCAAGGACCGATAAAGTGTCGGCCTCTCCAGACTGATGCACTCGCCTGAGCCGCGCCGATGCAGCTGGGTAAAAAGGACCAGTTTCTCGCAACAGTCACAGCTCGCAACGGTGCTGATTACATCCTCGGCCCCAGTGATGTACCCTCTGGTGAACTAACATAGCAATGGAAAATCACCATTTTCAATGGGAAAATCCACTATAAATGGCCATTTTCAATTGCTATGTTAGTTCACCAGAGGGTACATGGTAAAACCATGTAAAACCAAGGGGCTTGAGCTGTGTCTGGTACTGCAGGCTCAAGTGCGACTTTGGAAACTGCGAGGCGCAGTCAAATCGGGGTCAATTTGTTTCCCCAGACGTTTCTTCATTGATACTCCATGAAATCAAACATCGGTCTGTTGTAATTGTTCTGGCTGAACATGGAAATAGTATAGGTTTCTTGTATTTTCTTGTATCATAGTCTCTACATATCTCTAACGGCTTCCACTCTGTTCAAAGACTTTCAGAAAATGGCATCGGTAGTGAAAGGTGCTCTCTTCGATTTTCAACGTCAAACTTTCGTCATCATCGTCATCGCTATCATCATGATGATAAATGACCTGGTGGGTTGAAATCATCTGACAAAATGTACCAGTGCATAAACAAGAGATTTCATTGGCAAGTACATTCTCAGTACATTCTCAATGCGCAATGTTCAATATTCTCTGGTTGGTGGTTCTAACCATCTTGAAAAATATGAAAGTCAAGGGAAGGATTATCCCATATATAAAATGGAAAATAAAAAATGTTTGAAACCACCAACCAGTTCTTCAATGTGCAGCACCACTTCCAAGGAGACACCACCAAAAATGGCGCCTCTCGTGCCGACGGGATCAACAGCGTGCAATCGGGGCACTTCTCTTCGTCCTGTTGGGGAAAAGGCGTGGATAAAAACCAATCTGCAGAGAACAAGGCGTTTGCTTCCGCAGGTTCTGCTAAAAATGACATATAAAAAAAAACAATGTTTTTTTAGGCAAATCCAAAGTGCCACGTGTCATGCATCAGATATCAACCCTGGACCACCGAGCTTGACAACCAAATCATGATCAATGGGATTCAATGGGTCCTCAGCAAACCGAACCAGTTGAAATCCCCGAAATCTGACCATTTTTTTGCAAAAAAAAACCATGCGTCAACGGGTCCATAGTGGCGATGACCCTGGGACTTTCTGTCTCAGTCCACCAGAAAACGCAGCTGTACCTGTGCAGATGCGCCCAACGATAGCATAGGGATGCCTCCAGTCGAAATCTGTGTGAAGCTTCGTGCCTGCATTTTTGGTAGGGAGACACCTCCACCTCCACATGTTGTGTCATTTCCCAGCTCCGTTGGCATAACCGGGCGCACATGGTCACATTGTGCTGAAATTTGGGCGGATTCATTTGGCAGCTGGTATTGTCCATGCTCAAGTTCATCAAGTAACTGGCAAAGCGAACTGCTAAAAACGGCGGCAGGTAGGTTTGTGCTCTCGGATAAATGTCAGGTATATAGCATATGTATTCATGTATGTATGTATATATATATACGTATGTATAATATATATATATATATAATATATATACATACGTATGTATAGTAAAATTTGGCCCCGGAGAAGAATGGATACATTTTCGCAGCTCAAGGTTTTAACCACCGGAACGCAGCAGGTCGCAACAGGTCGCCACTCACCTGTAGTTGCTGACCTTCTGTTTGATGTGAACCTGAGATCGCGGAGGAAACTGTGCTCAGAGCTATTGAGATCAACTTGGAACATCCTGAATGGTGAACCCGGCAGCCTGGCAGGTTGGGAAAGCAAAATGGAACACGCGGGGTTGTTGATGACCGTAGTGACAAGACGGGGATGAAAAGGGATTAAGAACAGCCTCCGGACAATCTATGAATCCATTTGCAAACACATTGCCCAGCTTCATCCAATTTCATCCACCTTCTAATTTTCGGCACATTATTGCACATTATATGTCTGAATTGGAAACGGGATCGTTAGTGCCCAACTTTTACCACGGCAGCGCGGTATGACTCAAGGGCCCTAAAGCCAAATGTCAACGGGGGCATGTGATCACTTGGCTATACAAAATATACATTAGACAGGTCAAACTCACACTCAACCTGTTCTTCAAGGATCACATGATGCTAGTGAAAAAGTTGGCTCTAAGGCTTCTTCTGTACACGATAAATGCACTCCTTCAAGACGCGGATAATGAGGTCCGGGCGCATGCTCTTGGTCAGAGCATCCGAGACCATAGTTCCTGTAGCAATCCAGGTAACGATGTCTCCTCCGCCATGATGCATATCCCAGGTCCTCCGGCCGTCTTGCCAAAGTGACTCGTGAATCGACTGCAACTCAATGCCGAGTCGTTTGTCTGCGACCCTGCCAAGTACCTCATTCGCAAGATGGTCTGTTAAAGACCTGCAGTCTGAAAGCATCAGTTGTGGAATACAGCTGCGGCTGTCATCCAAGCATGTTTTCATCGAGTCAAGTTGACCCATCAGCTCGGCCAATGCTCCACGTAGCTTGTCACCGCTCTCTTGTCCAGCCTGCAGTGAATAAGCTTCGCATTGAAGAGTGCTGCGGCATACTCGCCGAATTGTATTTGATGCAAATCCCAATGGCATCACCCGATAGGATGTTGTCTTGGGGTCTTTGATCTCATTGATGTCTCCAAGAAAATGGAAACGTCCTTGTTGTGATTTGTAGTTCTTCTCGTTTGAAAATGAAGCATCTGTTACTGTAATGATACCAACCTCTCCCCAGGTTAGATGTCCACCTGGAAAAATGAGCTTGTTCTCAATGCCTTGTTGTGCCAGCTGTACTACGGCATTTGCGTCGTGCAAAATAGCAACTGTCGCTCCAGAAATACTGGACTGTAGGCGGCTCACACGATAACCCAAATCGGGTCTAGTCTGCCTTGCCACCCATGCCAAGGATCCCGTTACAGATCGTAATCGGGTCACATCATCCTTACCCAACGGCTCGGACGCTGATCTTCCTGGCGCGATCTTGATCGGCTTGATGCGACGGGTGTTGTCGCAAGTGTCTTGAGTGATTGTTCCATCTGCAGTACGCTCAAATTGCTTGCCACAATAGCGAAACGAATTTGATTCACTAGATCCCAAGTTGAACTTCTCCAAGAAGCTGTCGATCACTGACTTTCCCTCAGGAATGTATGCGTACAAGATGTCATCCACATGAGTCGCCATAAGTGCAACGCAATCTTTGTCGGTTCCTGGAAGAAAATACAATCCTGGGTAAAACTTGGATTGTTTCAAGCCACTGGATCGGGCATCTCCGTCCAGCCTCAACCAAAAACCTCGACCGCTGTCAGTTAATCCATACACGGCACTCTCACAAGGAAAAACACCTCTGGATCAACTCCCGGGAGACCTCCTCGGGGTTGTCTCATAATGAGGACTCTGTCAAGAGGACGACCTTGGAAATATGCGGATGCGACGTCCGCACTGTGCAATTGTGCACCCTGGATCGCCGCCCAACAGCAAAGAATGTTGTGAGCTTCTGTGTCTGCTGTAGGACTGTCTGATCTCAGACCTTCACTGACTTCGAAATTGCCGCATGACACCAACCGACTTTTGAACTTTGGCACATATTCTTGGTCTGTTCTTCCCTTCATAAATTGGTTCTTACCAACATCAACCCACTTGCTAGGAATACATTGATGTCCTTCTGCAATCAACTTCTCAGCATCTTCTTTTGGAATTTCAACCACCGCAGCGAATTCAAGGAACTTATTCCACTCCTTGGTTCTGGCATCCATGATGTTCTTCTGTACATCAGGTGGCGCTGATTCATAGTGGATTGATTTCAACACTTTCTTGCCTAGCTCCTCGTCCTCAGGAACTCCATCAACTTCCTGGGACAAAAACGATGCAAACAATGCTCGTGCTTCTTGTCGTTCTTCAGGACTTCGTTCTGAGTCTCTCTCACGAGCTCTTTCAAGATGTGTTCGCAATTGATGCGGCAAGTCATTCAAAAATTCTCTTCGTAATGGCCAAGATGACGCTGACGACGAGGGTAGTGGTCCCGAAACGGAGCCACTTGGAGTATGATCAGGTACAAAGGAGTCTCTCCGAGATGGCACAAGTGATGAGCCTCTCTCCGACTCAGGTTGTAGGTGAGACTCTACTCGAGGTCTCACGTTGCGTTCATGATCTCCATCTCCTGGACGTGGTCTTTCAACTCTTCTTTCTGGAGTTCTACTCGGTGAGAAGATGTCTTCTTTCATAGGTCCTGTGTCTTCCTCCTCCTCATCTTCCTCAAAGAAACCAGGTCGTATGTCCCATTCATCATCAGGTTCTTCTGGTACAGGAGGAAGTGCTGAATTCGCAATGTCCTCATGGACAACTTCAACATCATCTGCATGTCTTGGACCTTCACGAACAACTTCAACTTCATCCGCTTGCCTTGCATCAAGAAACGCTTGTTGACCTGTATCATTGATGATCTTGTATGGAATCACAGGTTCACCGTTCAACACTGATGGAGCAAGGGCTTCAGAAGGAGAAGCAATGCGTATGTTGTGGGAAGCCACAAGTACTGGAACGTTACCACATAGCAACCATATGTTCTTCTGGTTCTCGTGTCCGATCACTCGGCATGTTGGTGACCAGGACGTTCCTCCTCGCTGATCGTCTCGTCTGAAAGTGACGAGGTCACCAATGTTGAACTCACGATCAAACACACTGGCATTGCGTGTCAACGCTCGTTGAACTCTTCTTGAACAATCAAGATGAACAAAAGCCTTTTGTGCCTCAATTCTGGCCAAGTGTTGTAATGCAAAAATTGATGAAGGATCATGTCGGGCCTGAATGGCTCCGAGCTGTGCATGGTCTTCCTCAGACATGAGTGAAGCTACACCACGGGGAGCTCGACCAAGCACCCACTGGGATGGAGAAAAACCCCCAACACGTGCAGAGTCGTTCTTCACACTAAGCACCTGTGTGATGCACGACTCAACCTGTTCTTTGGTACAAGCCCCAACTTCTGTACAAACTCGTCTAAAAAGAGCTTTCAACAAACCACCATGCCTCTCTACTCGGCCCAATGATTCCGGGCTCTCAAGGGGCACATGGTGCACTTGAATGTTGTGTTCATCCATGTATTGTTGCAAGACACCACGATTGTGCAATCCACGGTCACACATGATAGCAACAGGATGTCCTGCCCAACTGAACCAACGTTTGATGAGTGCGTCCAAACAGGATCGCGAAGAAGCCTGACCTGCTCCAACCTTCACGACCTCGGCCTGTTGAAAACAAGTACCAATGCAAACCATGTTGAGAACTTGATACTTCTGTCCAGTTACATCTGTCAATTCCAGTACATCAATCCCCAAAGTATGGTTGAATGTATAATCACTTGGAAGCGTAACTTTGTGAGTGGGTTTCTTTGCTGATGTTTTCTCACATGTTTCACATCTATGCAACTTTACTGCATCAACAAACTCCTTGCTCACCTTTGCAGCACGCACCAAATTGACCATCACCGACTTGGGGACATGTCCAAAAGCCCTGTGCAACCTACGCACAGCAATCCTGACACGCTGGGGAAGTTTACGCCAAGACCTACGTCTTTCTGTTTCATCCTCTGGCAAACCAGGGATATCAACTTCATCCAAAAGAGTCTCTTCATGTGTCAGGTCCTCAACCGGATCCTGCAATGCAACATCTTCCGGGCCATCGACTGCATCCCAGTTCCCACCATGTTCCTGAGCCTCTTCAATGATCTCTGCTGGGAAAGCAACGCTCATCTGGTCCTCCAATTCACGCTCAAGTGACCAATCACGAATCCATTGACAAAACTCCCAATTCAAAACGTCATCCAATTGTCGATACATAGACCAATTCTGAAAACCCTGAATGAGTTCATCATCGTTTGACACAAAAGCAAGACCAACTTCGTTGATATATGGAATCTGTGGTGTTTTGAATGATTCCCATCGTTCAGTGTGCGCGACATCAACAATGAGAAATCTACACCCTGTGGCATCTTAATACTGTTCCAACTCAAACACAAGATCCCCATGACACAGTGGATAATGTTCTGACTTGTACTCAATTGCAACAATGATCAATGTGCAACCCTCGAACATGTCACTCCAACCACGTGGCTCAGCATCACCGTCCAAATACGCGGCATTCACGCCGACGTCATAGGTGTGCTCAAAAAGATCCTGGAAAAGAGTCGGGTGTGACGTGATGACCGCAACCCCTGAAGTTCCATTGGAAATTTGAGGCTGCATCCCAAGACTGGATTGCATCACACGATCATGGTTGTTGAGATTGTTGATACCTTCCAACACCATCTTTCTGTGTTTCTTGCTCATGGTCCTCCTCTCATCAGGATGGACTGTCAAATCAACGTTGGAATCAAAACGCACGGCCATGAAACCAGTGGGAGAATACTCATAGTCATATTCATAAGAATCGGAATCATCTTGTTCCAACTTGGGCGTCAAGACCTTTGGCTGGGGCTTCGACTTCACTGCATACATTCTTTTGATTTCTGGGGATTTCATCTCAACTTTTGGGTTCAAAGACTTTTCAAAATCATCCCTTATATCCCTCAGTTTCTTGTTGGGGGTCAACTTGACACGAACGCTCATGTATGCTCCCCTCCCGGAGTCATCGAACACCCCAGGTGGGTGGTGAAACACAATCACATCGATCCACGAGTTGTCCAAACGTA